AGAGAAACGAGCTGAGTTGCGTCGAGGCTTGAATGATGTGTGGATGTGGGTGTGGGTAGTTCATCTATTTAGTTAGCTGCACTAATTGCTTATGCCACGGTTCTCCGGCTGTCCGGCTCTCTTGCAGATACAACGCCAACGATAACAGTCTACGGCCAGCGAATAATAAGGCGGGAGGGGTCGGTAGCGTTGGCGGTGGCAGCGGCGGAGGAATCGGACGTTCGTCGGCGCCGGGCGTCTATAATAACACCTACTTCATGCACTCGGCTACGGCGTTGGTCGGCAGCGTAGTGCAGGTCCGATTGCGCTCGGGTAATACCTACGAGGGCGTATTTCGCACATTTTCGGGCAATTTTGACATCGCACTGGAGCTGCCCGCGTGCATAAAGGCTAAAAATCAGCCCGACGAAAGCAAAGCAGTGCCCAGACACATCATATTCCCGGCGGATACTGTTGTCACCGTTATAGCCAAGGACTTTGATTCTCAATACGCGACTACGGGCGCCTTTCAGACCGACGGCGCCATATCGGACAAATGCAACGGTAATTTCAATAATTTCTCTGGTGCATTTTGCAATGACGTTGTTATTGTTATTGTTATTGTTGTTTTATTTATAGGCACTCGCTTTGATGAAAAAGAATTGGAGCCATGGGACTCTGGAGCGAATGGCGACGTTGACATCGAGCTGGATGGCTCAGCCAACGGCTGGGATGTAAATGAAATGTTCCGCAAGAATGAGAATCAGTTCGGTGTGACCTCCACGTTCGATGACTCGCTGTCGACGTATACAGTGCCTTTGGATAAGGGCGACTCACTAGAGTTCAAGGAAGCGGAGGCCAAGGCTGAGAAATTGGCAGCAGAGATCGAGAACAATCCCACGTGCCGAGAACGTTTGGATTTGGAGAATGGTGATGAGGAGGCACTTTTCGCTGCCGTGGAGCGGCCACCGCCAGATCAGGAGCAGGAGCGCGAGCGTGAGCGCAATGAGCGGGAGAGGGAACGCGAGCGAGAGCGTGAGGAACGTGAACGCGAACGGGAACGTGATCGAGATCGTGGCAACAAGCCACGTGGTGGTGGTGGTGGCGGTGGCGGTGGATCTGGTGACTATCAGCTGCGTGAGACAATGAGCAGCGATCGCTATATCACCAAACAAACACGCAACAACAATGGCCCGCCTGGATCACATGCTGTCATGTCGTCCCAATCGTCCACTGTAACTGGATCCCGCGATCGTGATAACCGCGATTCGGCTATGATGGGTCAACAGGGCATGGGCCAGGGCGGAGGCACACAGTCGCAAGCAGTGCTCATTCTCGCTGGAAGCTTGAAGAATACAGGCCAAACCTCGTCCTCTGGCAACGCATCAACAGATACGGGCACTGGCGGCAAGTACGGTGGTGGTGGCGGCGGCAGTGGCGGGGGGCCAATGATGAAACGCAAAACAGTGCCGCAAGGCGGCAAAATAATGCGAGGTAATCCGCCCAATAGCGTCGGCGCCGGCAACACATCTAATGTTTCGCAAGGCAACAATAACAATAACGTGGGCAACAAGAGTGGAGGCTACCAGTCCTCGATGGGTATACAGAACCAGTATTCCTACCAGGGCAGCTCACAGATCATACACGGGTAAGCCAAAGCTATTTATGATCACCAAATGTCGAGACTAAACTTACTTTATTTACTCGTATTCTTAGCTCCTCCCAATATCGGAATCAAGGGCATATGAGTGGTGCGTCCAAATTGAACGGTGGCGACTCTGGCTCTAATTCGGGCAAGCCACTACCCCAGCGCCAGATGCGACAATACCAGGGCTCTCAGAGCAACTCGTCGCTGAATTATGGCGGCGAATCGCAGCCGCTGGGCAAGCCCATGCACGGTGCTCATGTGCATGGTGGCCACAACAGTAACTCGCCGCCCCTACAGGCTGGCGGGCAGCAGCAGCAGCAACAACAACAGCAGCAACAACAGCCACCACAGCAGCAGCAGCAGCAGCCGCCGCAACAGCATCAAAGCCAGCCGCATCAACAGCGTCAAGTGCGTTCACGCGATAATCAAATACAGGAGCTGCGTCAATTTGGGCAAGACTTTACGATGGTGTCGCCGCCGCAGCCACAGCAGCAGCAGCAGCAGCAGCAACATGCACTGCAGCGGAGTGGTTTGCAGCCATCGGCATCACCGCCTCAGCCGCAGCAACAGCCGCAACTGGTGGCCATGCAACATGTACATGTGCCGCCGCCGCATCATCACCAGCAGCTGCCACCACAGCAACATTATGTGCCTCAGCAGCAGCAGCAGCAGCAACAGCAGCAGCCACCGCCGCCGCAGCAGCAACAACAGCAGCATGTGCAACATATGCAACAGAAGGCGCCACCGGCGCAACAGCAACAGCAACAACAACAACAACAACAACAACAGCAGCAGCTAGTAGTAGAAAGTCAGCACCAGCATGTGCCCAAGCAGCAACTGCATCAGGGCCAGCCTCAGGCACAGCCAACACAGCAACAACAGCAACAGCAGCAGCAACAACAACAACAATCAGCTCAATTAGATCCAAGCCAGCAGCAGCAGCCGCTTTACCAAATTGTGCAACAAGGTGTGCCACTGCCTGCCAACGTACAGCAGCCGCAAACTTCGCCCGTGGTTTTGAGCTCACCAGGTGTCATGGAGCAGCAGGCGCCTACGCCATTGCAGGCAACTCCAAAGACGGATGCATCGCCAGCGCCCAATATTGGCGTAGGGTCCAGCAGCAGTAGCAGCGTCACGCCCACTGGCATTATTGCTAACACATCCACATCCACGGCAGGCACAGGCAGCGCTGCTGCTGGGTCAGACAAATCGACGCCAGTGGCCAGCGCTACTGGCAACGGATCGACCACAGCTGCTGGCGCAGGCACAGGCACAGGCAACAGCACTAGCACCACTCCGAGCAGTGCAACGCCAGTCGTGAAGAAGCATGTGCTGAACCCATCGGCCAAGCCATTCACGCCGCGTGGACCTAGTACACCAAATCCATCGCGGCCACATACGCCACAGACCCCGGTACCCATGCCGGCCATCTACACGACTACGGGCGCCCACATGGCGCCGGCTAATCCACAGATCTACATGGTGCAGCAGCAGCCGCATGCATTCCAGGCACCCACACATCCAGGCGGCCAGGCGCAGCGACTGCGTCGCAATAATTATGGTCAGTGGTTAATTTTGGTATATTTATGTATAAGATGTGGATAATCAATTACGTTTGTCTTTTAGGTCAAATGGGTGGATCGCAAATGCATGTTGCAAGCGCAACGGGACAGCCACTGATGGCCGCGGCACCGTTGCAACAGTTCATTCAATACCAGCAAACTCCGCATCCACCACATTTCCAGCCGCCATATGGCGCGATGCCGATACGCATGTATCAGGACCAGCCACAACAGTTACAGTTTTTGACACAGACAACGCCATCGACGACGCCATCGCCGGGTCAACCGCATCCGACGTTCCATCCGCCCCCACAGCCTTCCCCTGCTGGCGGGGGACCGCAGCCCGCAGGATTCCCAGGCCAAGGACAGCCAACGTACCAATTGATGTGCGTACATCCCCCGCAGATCATGGCCAATCCCTACTTCCCAGGAACAACGCCGCAGAATCCGCCGCAGAATCAACAGTATCAGATTGTAATGCAGCCGCATATCACGCAGTAAACTGCACGATTCTCAATGGAAGCATTCGCGGCTGACGTCACAGTGGAATCGAACATCAGCGTCAAAATCTCATAGCCCCTTTTCGCCTTACACCAACACCAACACCACATTCACACTCAAACTCACGCCAACACCCATACATGCACAGCAACACGCCACGTCAGATACACACACACACACACACATAAACAAAGCATATACACGAAAATTCACATATACACATTTCTGCATCGCCCTCTGCAACCAAACTGATGATTCTTTGGGATTGCCTGGACAGATTGAGCTCCGATCAGTTGTATACATCACGCCAAGCCATTTATACTGGCACTGTCAGGTGCTTCACCCTAAAGCAACCATTATACTTATATGCATCGCAAGTGAAACAGCAACACAAACAACAACTAGGAAATTCTACAATATATTTAACAAACAACAAAAGGGAAACTAGTGAATTTGTCTACAGTGCTCGATAGCCAAACAAACAAACAAAGACAAGTCAGTACATAGTTATCAAAGAATCAGCTGGAATAAAGCTGCATTTAGAGAAGCTTAATAGTTCTCATTACTGATTTCTGTATATCCAATCCCATATGCGTCTCCTTTGGCAACGAGCTTCCTGTACCAAGCCCCGTAAATTAACCAAATCCAATTGATTGAAAGTGTGCAGTAAAACAAAACAACAACAAAGTGAAATGATATGAAATGAAATCAATTCGGAAATCTGAAAACTGAAGATAAACACGTGAAGCCCTTTTAAAAACAGAAGAACAAATTAGTCCGAATTTTTTGTAAAATTTGCTTAAAGCGAATCTATTGAATTTTCTTCGGTACTAAAAGAATGTATGCCTTGGCGTACACGTATTTACAGAATAGAGATGTCCACGGAGCAAGCAATCGGTAACACGAAGACACATTAAGATCCAAAGTCCTCATTCCAAAATTCCAAACAATCCAAGCTAAGTGTTAAAAACTCTGTAATTGGTATATTATATAGTACATACATAGCATTCATTGTGGAATTAGTACTTTTTTTTATATATATATCTTATCAGATTCCACTTTGAATACTCTACACAACTTTTGCTTGGTTTGATGACAAAAAAAAAAAAAAGAAAAAGGAAAGAACGTTGAGAAATGCAGAGCGACGAATGTGAATTGAAGAGTCGAACTTTTTATTTAAATACTATTGTAGAAACTGATTAATTTTGTTAAAATTTAATTTTGTTTTCACTTCTACATTCTTAACTCTCCCAACTCTACAAAAAAAAAAACTGAATTCAAACACTCGCGATTTTTACTGATAATATTTATTCTGAAATTCTATTAAAATTTTTCTCGTTGCTTTATGCATTATTTGATAAATATCTTGGAAGCGTGCGAGATTCTGAATCAGGCTTTTGGGTTTTTAGTGCCTCCGTTGTCCTTCAGAGAAAACGATGAAATCCTTTGCCGCCGGTCATCAATCAGTTCGATTCTATTCAGTATGATCAATATTTGCATCTGTTGTGGTCCTGTTTTGTTTTGTAAAGTTTCCTTAAATGAAAATGAAAAGAAAGAGAAAATAATAACTATTAATTAAAATAAAAAATTAATAAAAGTAAAAAAAAAAAAAAAAATCAAAAACCAAAAAAAAGAACAAAAACAAAACATCTAAATGGCATGTGTATTTATTACCGTTTAGTCGCGAGGACTTGGCCTGACTTCATTCCAAGGGATCTGGAATATAATTAGTACAACATACATGTCGGACGCGTAACGCGAGCTCTGTTGAGATTTCTTTACCCAAACTCGTCAAAATGGCTGTGATATGATAGTGAATACATACGGTCACAGACATTTTAACGACATGGTATAAGAAAATTGCAATTCGAATGCAAATGAAGATGGAGATTGAGGTGGATAATCCAGTGACACAAAACGGATGGGACAATGCTGAAAGCAATTCACACGAAACTCATCAAAATGGCTGTGATATGACTTGATAATGGCTACATTTCACAACCCCTTGAAGAGTTACGCAAGAATTGAATGGGCGGAGATCGTTAAGTGTCCCATATAATGAGATGCAAACACTTGTTGGTTGTGTTTGTTGTAGTCCTGTTTACCGGTGCGGCGACTCAACACCTATAAATTTTGTTTCCGTTTTTTTTTTTTTTTTCTCTCTTACTGTTAATGTTACTGTTACTTCGCCCTTCGCAGTGCCCATCAAAGCTGGCTGTGATACAATTCAATTACAGAAATATCATTCTCAGCCCTTTTTGATGACACTGAAAGTAAGACCAAGCATGTACACACAAACATACACACTCACACATACACTGGCACACCCGTGTAAACGAACTCTAATACAATTCACGTAACCAAAGACGTTAGCCGGCAGTAAGGACGACGTAAACGATTTGGGCGTAACGTAAAAAACGTAAAACTCAATTTGGTTTTAATGATTGTGTATGTTTGTCAGTATGCTTGCATGCGTGCGTGTGTGCGTGTACATGTTTGGCAACCTTTGTGTACCGTTAATTCTACTAATTGAAGCATATCCCGGCACTTGCTTATGCATTATTACTTTTATTCTTTGTAGGTTAAGTAGCTACGAATCTGCTGCATGTTGCATGCGTACCACACACTGGGTGTATGTGCATGTATGCATGTGTGTGTGTATTGCTAGGCAGCAAAATGGCAACGTTGTTGCTGACTGCGACGGCGACCACCGCCCTCTGCAGCAGCTTAAATGTCTGCCAGTCAGTCTAACTGTGAGCTGCGCTGTCTGCATCATTTGTGAGTGTGTGTGTGTGTATGTACGCATGTGTGAACTGTGAGTGTGTGCATGCGTGTGTGTGTGAGTGTATTTATACACCCCTATCTCGCGCCTCTTCTAGTATTCAGCGGCAGCGGCAGCAGCAACAACAACAGCAACCACCATTCGCATTTGGTTCGTGTTTAGGCAGAGTTACGAAAGATTTTCGAAATTCGAACATCGAACTTGATAGGCTCAAATTGAAGCATTCCATTTGCCTGTTCAATTTTATAACATTGATGAATTTGTATTATTTTTTTTAGAGATCTGAATTTGCACCCTAATCTTTCGTAAATTTTCAGGAGATGCAGCAGTAAGTACATTAATTGTACATACATAATAATGTGTGTATATGGAATTGGGTATGTATATGTTTATAGGGTGTTGCCCAGTCGGCTTATTGATCTGTGCGCTAACTGTTGTTGCCGCTAACGCTGCCGCTGCTGCTGCTGCTGCTGCAATCCTGCAACCGAATTGAGCCAATATACATACATAAATATATACATACATGTACGTATGCATGTATGCATGTGTATTTATGTATGTATGTGCACACGAGTTGTGAAAAACCGACGAAATGACGAACCATCCCTTATTTGGCACGTACCCGGCACATTGCTTTCAGCCCCTCTCTAGCACAGTCGCTCACTAAACACACACACGCTTTTTCTCTCGCTCTTCCTCTCACTCGCACTGGCTTCGTCCCTTTCTCGTTTCATCTTTGTCTGTTTGGTTCTGTGCTTCGGCTCTTTCTCTACCCACCAGCTGCCATGCATGTGTGTGTGTGTATGTGTGTGTGTGTGTGTATTACTACTGTCGCAGACGTCGGACTGCCACCCACCCTATTTCCAGCAGCAAGAACAACGACGACAACAACAAACACAACATCATCATCCTCGTCCTGGTCGGCGTTTCTTGTGTGTATACTGAAATACGCAAAATTCATTTATGGCTCGTATCCTTTTTGTTGTTGCTGCTGGCACTGGCGTTGGCGCTGCTTCTACTACCGCTGCCGCTGCCGCTTCGACTGCTGCCTCTGCTGCTGCTGCTGCTGCTTCTGCTTTGTTCCTGTTTCGGGGCGACGGCCGCTTTGTACTCGTCCTGGTCGTTGTCTTGGTTTCAGCTTCTGCTCTGCGCCCACTTTCTGAGTGCCGCCCGTTGCCCGTTTCCCGTTACCCATTGCCAATGGCCCGCTGCCCGTTGCTGCTACGCATTTCATGTTATATGCAAACCTTTGTGCCTTTCATTACGGGAATCCTTGAAAGTCCCAGATCGCATTTTCTCTACAAAGCCGATTACTGATGTGCGCCGGGGGTGCTGCTCTGGACAGTTGCATTTTCTCGATTTTCGAGGCTCCGCATTTTTGTTGTGTACGACCATTGAATCGGGCATCGGTCATATATTCCTCTATATATGTAGTAGTTTTTCAGATCCAAAACTTTTTTCAAATGTCGTGTGGTACCTAGCGTAAAATGTTTTTGCGCAGTTTACAAATGGCCGCAAACACTGAACTGAACCGCTATGGTCGGGGGAGGGAGGCGTGTAAAAAGCAACAAACGCCATGTACTGCAAAATTTTCATCATTCGCTTTCACTTGAGTTTTTCACTTGTTTAGCACATGAAATATATGTTTTATACACAATTCCTGGGTCCGTGGCAGTTGCACTATTTTTAATATATTTATTCACATTTATTTACCGTACATTTCCCATTCAAATGGCAATAATTTATTAACCGGTTTTTCTCGTGACGTTTTCGCCTTTTTACAACCACACATAGAGAACAGAACGGACAACCAACTGCTGTCTGTTAGCTGCCTCTGTTAGGCCGCTGCCTGCCTTTCGCTTCGTTTCGTTTCGTTCGTTTTCTACGCTGTACACACGCTCGTGAGAGTGTGCGCACGCCTGTGTATGTGTGTGTGAGTGTAGCCGATTGCTTGCGTGTATGCCGCTTGCTGTTTGGGCAGGACTTCGTGTTGACTTCGGCCGCTCAGCTAACGCTTCGTGTTTCAGTATAGTTTTCAGTTACATGCCTTGGATGCGCGCGCGAAAAAAGGGCAAAAAAGGCGCGCCCCCATCCGTCAACCACCGAAATGACAGAGAATGTATTCCGTGTTTGTTTCCTCCTATGCTTTCGCTCGCACGGCGAGCGAGATAGCGCGATGGCAAGTGAGCGAGCAACTCTCTCTCGCACAACATCCTGTCGCTGCTGTAAGTGGCTCTGTTAGCTAACAGGCGTATTTGTGAGCAACCCTGTAGGCGAAGGACGCATACGCACACACACACGGAAAATACCCCAAAGTAACGGTCACAAATGGAAACACCTTGTGATTTTAAATGTGTCAATTTCTTTATTTCATTCATCCGTGTACACAAGCAAAAAAATGTTCAACAGCATGAAATACTACACAAATGTTGTAAATGTAAACAATGTTAATAATAAATATTGTACGAGTCACACTGTGCATGATTGATGTGCGGGTCATGTTTGAATTTTCTTTGCAATCGGGTGGTTTGTCTGGTATATATGTATGAGGTGTGGGTTCCAGCCGCATCAGCATGTAAACAACAATTAACAAGTTCCGGAACCATTCCAGGGTTACGTGACGCAGCGAAGCAGCTGAACATATGGAACCAGCGCGCAACATTCAAAAGGAGTTGGCAAGTTAAAACTAAAAACGAGATGCATTTATAACTAGTTCTTTTTTTGTTCATTTTTGTTGTTGTAGTTTTTTCCTTTTTTTTATGTGTATGTAAGTAGTAATATGTATGTTTGTAATTTCATAGTATGTGAATGCGCATGTATGCATGTGTGTGTGTATGTGTGGGTGTGATATGTATGCATGATTGAGATACTTTAAATAATCATAAAAAATACATATTGCAAAAGTTGTTGGCAATTAATCAAATAAAATTCAGGTGCTCAACACTTCTCAAAGCAAACCTGCGATACAGGATTCTATTCCTGTATATGTATATGTATGTATATACAATACAAACATTGTATGTCATATATATTATTGTTTATAAAGACCTTAAAATGTATTGCAACAGGGCCACTTTCCAAATGCTAATATTAGATTTCCTCTTTTCATTTTTTTTTTCTTTTTTTTAGTATGTGTTAGTATATGTTTTATATGTATTGAGAATCTTAAGAACTAGTTGGGGAATTCTTGATCTTGAGTGCTGAAGAAACGCTACGCCTAAATATAAACCAAAATGAAAATGTCTGTGTATGCATGTGTGTGTGTGAGGTGTGTGTGTGTGTGTGTGTGTGTGTATCTGCCTGTGTATGTTTAAAATTATATTAACGATATTAAAATGTATAATAAATAACTATAAATAGCATACATAGATGATTCGCTACATGTACTATATATCCTCGCTAAGTTAATCAAATGCATATGTTCACATATATATGTATGTATATATATATATATATGTGTTTGTATATATCTCTATATATATGTATATATATTTAAGCCCCGCCCCTAACACACCCTGTTGCATCAATCGGCATTTTTAATCTCGCTCAGACTGCGACAGGCTTCTCTCTCGCGCTCCCTCTCCCTCTCGCGCTCTCTCTCTCGCTCTCGCTCACGCTGCTCTTCCTCCAGCTTGAGCACTTTGCTCTTTAGCCCGCATAGGATCTCTGCCGTGGCTATATTCTTGATGGTGCTCAGGTCTAGATGTTGGCTGTGATTGTTGTTGTTGTTGTCATCGTTGTCATGCTCTCCATTGCTGCTGTTGTTGTTGTTGTTCTTGCCTCCATCAGCAGCATGTTGCTGCTCCAGTTCCAGACTTCGATTGATGGCATTTAACAGCTTGTGCTTGCCCAGCGCCAATGCTAGTCCGGCACCCATGCTATTGTTGTTGTTGTTGTTTGTCTCGTTGTTGCCCTTGTTGTTGTTGTTGTTGCCGCTGCTGCTGCTATTGTTGTTGTTCGAGTCAGTTTCTATATCCAGGCCGCGATTGTTGTTGTTGTCGTCGTATTTGTGCTCATAGGCGGCGAGATCTTCATCGTGTCCATCGTTGTTGTTGTTGTTGCTGTTGTTTGTGGCCTCACCTGGCGACGCCTCAAGCTCCACTTCACGCTTCACCAACTGTATATCAGGCGGAGGTGTTGGTGTTTGTGGGCGTGCCCGATTGCCATTGATATTGGGCGTTTGTACCAGATTCAAAGCCTCCTCATCATCGGGCTGGCTATTATTATTGTTGTTATTGTTGTTGTTGCCGGTGCTCTTGCTGTTATTGTTGCTGCTGCTGTTGGTCAAATGGTGACTATCCACGAGTCGTATTTTGAACGAGTTGTTGTTGTGCGTCGATGGCGGCGGCTGCGGCTCCGGCGTCCTTGGCACAATCGTTGTGATGGGCTCCAAAATGTCCTGGCTAGTGGCATAGGCGTGATTGTTGTTCAGTGCATCGTCGTTCAGCTCCGCGCTGGGGTAGTGCTCGCGCTCCATCTCCTTCAGCCGCTTCTCGCCGCCCAGCTCTGCGTTGTAGTGCATCAGGATCTTGCGCTTGGCCAGGTACTTGTGCTGCTTGCGTGCAGAGTCGAGCATTTTCTTGCTGTTCGCCTGCAGGATCGCAAAGGAGTTGCTCTCTGGGTCGGCCACGGTCGGATTGCTGACAGTGTTGTTGTAGTTGTTGTTGTTATTGGTGCTGTTGTTGTTGTTGTTGTTACGATTCAGATTCTTTATAAAGGTCTCCGCTAGCGTTGCCTTCGACTTGATGTGCTCCCGGAATCCCGCATAGCCCGGATCCTTGGTCAACGACAGGGGCGTCGGGCAGCGGCTGGGTCCATTCAGCGCCGCCTGCTCCAGTGCTGTGGCGCCATAGCCAGCGGCATGGCCACTGGTGATGTTGACGCTGTGCGTGCCACGCTCGTAACGGCACTCGGTGCCGTCGCTTTCTAGGGGCGAGCCAATGTCGCTCGCATCGCTGTCCAAATTTTTCTAGAAGCAAAGAAAATTGAGTGCTAAAGTAGTTCCCAATGGCAATGGACTTAACCAAAGTATACCTCTGTGTGGAGTCCCTTGATCTTCATGGCCTCGGCCACCTTGAGGAAGACCGGCAAGTCCTCATACTTGACATTCACCTGGCCGCTGTACATGAAGTCCAGCAGGCCGGCCATGTGGCTGGCCTCGACGTCGGCCATCAGCAATATGGGATGACTGGATGGATTCTCCAGGAAGATCTGCTGGAAGTAGGGACTGCAAACGGACAACACCTGCAAGCAGAGCAAGAGAAGACAATGCCGAGAGGCAAGTGTTAGCGGAACAGTTCCACCGAGTGCTCAGTCAGTTTACCAGTTTGTGTGCCTTGAAGATCTTGCCTCCTGCTGCTATGGTCACGTCCACCATCTTCTCGTCCTTCTGCAGGGAATGGAAGCCGCGGCACATGTTGCCATGGAAATTGTTCCACGACAGCAGATACTGATCGATGGTGTTGGGATCGGTGTAGGGCTGTTGCTGCTGCTGTTGCTGTTGCTTGTGTTGCTGCTGCTGCTGCTGTTGCTGCTGCTGTTGCTGTTGCTGCTGCAGCTGCTGCTGGGCTGCCTGATGCTGTGTGGCAGTGATGTGGATCTGCTGAGCGGTCGTTGGCGGCGAGCTGGGACGCGGCGTGGGTGGCTGATGGGGATGAGCGAGCTGATGATGATGCTGCTGTTGTTGCTGCTGCAGCTGAGCCTGCTGCTGTTGCTGCTGCAGATGCTGCTGTAAATGTTGCTGTTGCTGTTGCAATAGTTGCTGCTGCTGCTGCAGCGCATGCTGCAGTCCCGGTGGCGTCGACGACGAGGACATGCGATGCGGATGCGGCGAAAGGGACGGCTGGTGGCTCATGAAACGCTGCTGCTGTTGCTGCTGAGCCTGATGATGTTGTTGCTGCTGCTGCTGTTGTTGTTGCTGCTGCTGCTGTTGGTGCTGTTGCTGTTGTTGCTGGTGCTGGTGCTGCTGCTGCTGTTGCTGTTGGCGTGCATGCTGCTTGATCTTGACCATGTTCTCCTGCTGCTCCTGCTCACGCTGACGCATCAGCTCCTGCTTAAGCTTGTACTGTTGCATGGACAAGTCGTCGACGCTCTTGGAGAGCTTCACCATATCGCTGTTGCTGTTGAACTTGTTGCTGCTGTTGTTGTTGCCCAGCATCGGCTTCAGATCGTACTTATAGTCGCCACTGGCGCTGCTGGCGGCCGCTGCCAGCTTCCGCTCGGCAGCCAAGGCGGCGCGCTCCTTCTGCCGCCGGATGAGCTCATCGATCTCCATGTAGGCGCCGCTGGTGGCCGCCGCAATGGCCGAGGCAATGATTGGATCATCCTCGAAGACGCTGTCGTCCAGTGTCTCCTTCAGCGTCTTTGTGGACGAAAAGAGGCGCAGCGAGGGATCGTTCACCTGGTCGCTGAAGTACACGTCCATCAGTGTGAAGAATGGCCACTCCCGCCGCTTCGGCTCCTCGGACATTTTGATGGCCTTGTACTCCTGCAGCAGATTGTTCCACTTTTTGATGATCTTCGACAGCGGCAGCGGCACATTGAGCTCACGCTCGACCACGCTGTGAACGAAAGGGAATGTGTTGAATGACTCGATTGCGATATAATCACGGATTAGGCGTTGGTGTTTCAAATTTCAAATTTCAACTTGATTTTTTATTTTTATTACTAAAAATTGTTTATATTTTGTTTGTATTTCTTTTTTTGTTGGTACTTACGCCCAGGCATATTTCGAGGCGTTTCTTTTGCCCGTGAAGAGTGGTGAGAGTTCAGCTCGTAATCTGATCAATGATTTGACTTTTTCAGCTTCCCCTGCAAAGGCGAAAAAGTAAAACATAATAAATGAGTTTCAAATTAAACAATTGCGTACATTATGCAATCGGTTGGGTAACCCAACACGATGGATTGCCATTCGTAAATGCTCCAGCATGAAGAGAGAAAAGAAATAACGATCGAGCGTAGGCTCCAGTCATATCTAAGTGTTATTACTGCCAATGTGTTGTGTGCCCTAACCCAGTTATGCGCAATTTGCAGAAATCACAGGCAAATAATCATTCGGTAGATTTTCAGAGTCGAAACTGAGCTGAACTGCACCGAGAGTGATCGACGCGGGGCATTGATCTGACTGGCCGAGTGCAACTTTCCACTTGCCGCGCTGCAATTCAAGTTTACGCTGCATTGCCGTTAAAGACCTCTGGCAAGGTTTCAATGAACCCGTCACATGGCCACAGCTGAATTCAATGCGAATCAATTCGCTTCGATGCGATTCGATTCGATTCGATTTGAATCGCTCTGTAAATCATTGTAATCTGTAGATTGGCTCTAAATTGGCTGCCGGTTAATTGCTATGGCGAATCTAGCAACTTTTACCAGCCAAGTCCAAAAGAGTCGAAATCGAAACCGAAACCAAAGCCAAAGCCAAAGCCAAAGCCAAAGTCTGGTAAGCCAGGCAGTCGCATCTTACATCTATATATTGTAGATACGACAGACATATATTTATGGCATCTGTATGCTCATCAAGTATACGCCATGAGCAACAGCAGCAACAACAACAATCCACTGGCAGCCATAATGACTGAAAACTATTCAACGTTGAAGAATTCATTAGCAGATTTCACTTTCGCTTATGACGACGTTCGCTCATTTCTTTTTGCCGTCTTTCTTTATTTATTTACCGTAATTTCTACTCGCTCACTTTTTTCTTGCTTCACTGCTAGCCCTCCCTCTCTCTCCCTCTCTTTCTCACTTTTGATTGTATGTGTGTGTTTCACGTTTCTTGAGCTTTGCTGCGGCTGATTTCTTGTTTCAGCCAGGCCAAGAAGCCAGCTACAAGCTGCGCGCCTGCTAGCCCGCTCGCTGGCTCGCTCGCTTACGTTTTTCTTTCTTTCTTTTTTAAAGTTATTTTTCTTTTTCTTTTTAGCCAAGAGAAAATGACTTGGCGCAACCAAAGCCGGATCTAAAGCCGCTTCGCTGCACAACAGGAGACGAAAGTGAAGGCGAAGGAGAAGCAGCAGGCGAAGGCGACAGCGCAGGCTGGGCCGCCTGCATTCTAGCTGAGCCCACGGCCCGTTTACTTTCTAAACTTAAATTGGGTTATTTAAACTCGGCAAATACCAAAATTACTCACATTTTAATCAAGAAATAAAAATAATTAAAATCAAATTTTAATTAAAATGTATGGAAATTGAATATGAATTAAGTCTCAAGTCTTTGACCAGCTCTCCAACAATCCATGTCTAAAGAAAAGTTAAGCCTTAGTCATTTCGAAATCCAAATAATAAATGTGTGGAAATTTTAGAGACTTTGAAAATATGTGAAAAACTTAAAACTTTTTTGAAATCTCGAATAATCCATGTTAAAAGCAGAGTTAAGCCTTAGTCAGCAACTCATTCCAAATATATGGAAATTCTATAAGAAATGGCTTATTGAAACTTTGAAAATATATGAAAAACTTAAAGCTTGACCAAATTTCGAATAATCCATGCTGAAGGCAAAGTCAAATCGAAGTCATTTCGAAATTTTCTTTAAGCTAGCAGCAAAAGTTATTATAGCTCTGCCAAAGATCTATTAATATAATGACATTTTATTAGTTTTAAGTTTTTAAGTTACACCCCAAAGATATTATATTTAGTTCATCGTGAGATGCATCTGGTTAGGGCAAGGCCAGGACAGCGATATCGATCTGTGGACAGTTTTATGAATCCCCAGCCTCTGCTTGATTCATTTAATTGTCTAGCTATAACCTAGCCCAACCCAAAGCTATGCGCGAAACAATTTGCAAAAAAAAAAAAAATATATATATATATATATATATATATATATATATATATATATATATATATATATATATATATATATATATATATATATATATTTATATGAGTATATATATGTATATCAGATTTGCTAAGCATAATTGCAAAGGCTTGTGTAAAACAACCTCAACCTTCTGTTCGTGACATGCTGAGGTTCCACGTTTCCCATGCGCCGATGTTGGCAAACCCAGACAACAGCAGCATAAGTGTGCGTGTGTGTATGTGTGTGTGCTAGGGGGCGTGCGGGTTGAACGGGCGCCGCAGCAGAAGTGGCGCAAATTGTTGCCCGGGGGAGCGGCACACAAAAGTTTCACTTTCTTTGCAGCAAGTTTTTCGTGCGTCTGCGCGCCCGTTCAAGCAGTGCGTGTGTCGTGTATACAACTCACGTCAGACAACTTCTCACACACACACACACACACACACACGCACGCACACAGGTTGAGTATCGTCTTCTGGTTTCTACTTTCCGTTCGCGCCCTTTTATGTAACCCAAATCATCTGAGCTGTTGCTGCTGATCTGTTTCTCTGCCGCTGCCGCTGCTTCTGCTGTTGCTGCTGCTGCTGCTGCTGCTGCTGCTGCTGCTGCTCTGCATACGAACTGAAAGGTCTGTCTGTCAGCAACAGCAGCGGCGGCGGCAACAACAATAGCAGCAGCATTTACCGTTAGTTTCTCTTTTGACCTATATTTGACCAAAGACGCGCCGCTGTTGCTTTTGCTGTTGTTGTTGTTGTTTATCTCAGTGCACGCCATTGGTTCTTTGTCAGTTGCTCTCCATGGCCTCTTCTTCTTCATCTTTTTCTTTCTCTGCTTCGTGCTCAATGTTCACTTCCGTTTGAAGCACTTTCGTAGCCACAGAACCGGTTCTCAGGCCTTACACTTATCACCCATGAATCAACATTTGCATTTCTTTTTCTTTTCTTTTTTTTAAGATTCTCTTTTTCTCTTGTCATTTTCTATCTCGTCTAGATTTGACGCATAATTGGCCATGGAATTGAAAACGATTTGTTGTGCTTCCTTTCGTTACGGCCCCTTTCTTTCTTTCAGTTACGCTGATTGCACGTCCCTCCCCCTCTAGCGCACGGCCCCTCTTGAATTGTTCTTGCTTTGTTTTGGCCAACTCTCTGTTTGTTTGTTTGTTTACTTGATGAAATGCGAAATTGTTAAGCGTGACGTTTCGCTTTTTCACAGCTTTATCGCCGTCTCTCTCTACCTCCCTCCTTCTCTCTCTTGCGTTCGCCTCGTTCTGGCTATACAATCTGTTCTTTGCGTGAGAACTTCTAATGAGGTCAGTGGGATTTTTAGTGTCTGCATTGCATATATAAAGCCGGTGGAAGTCAAATCAAGCATTCAGCCTGCCCTACTCTCGTCAATAGTGCTAGGGGCGTGGCACGGGCCAGGCCAAGCGATTGACACTGCCAACTTCTGATGGTGCAGAAAGGGGAGAGCTATCAAATGATATGCTAGTAAATGGTATAGATAATATTCTTGTAGTTGTATTAACTAACTTCTAAGTTAGTATTATTATTATTATGTTGCTATGATTTATATCTATAAATGCTTAACTATGTACTCGAATTTCTCCCAGTTTTTTGCTATTGTTTGCTGTTGTTTGAAATTCTGAGCTGTAGAACTTTTGGGGTCACCTTTCCAAATGCTACGCAAATAGCTCCAAGGCATACTCCATAGCAGAGCATCCATCAGGCAGTTAAACAATCTCCTCTTGAGGCTAAAGCTGCCCATGAATAAATACAATGTGAAACTTTTGCGTGAATGCAATGCGATGCAATGCCAAGGCGAGTGCAAGAATTTCGACTGCGTTACTGCTGTATTTTGTGCACTCACTGCAACAGCAACAACAACAACGGCAACCAGACTCCAATGAAATACGAGACGCTGCTGATGCGGCTTTCCAACGACAACGACAACGACAACGCCAACGACTTGCAGCTATCTCGGTTTGCAGTCGGTTTTCTACTTTGGCTGCATTTCTTGAGAGTTTTCTCCGCACGGCACGGCCAGGCCGCAGAGCACAGACAATGCGCATACGCCCCGTGCGCCGGCGTTCCGTGTAAGTCATCGACCAGCCAGTGAGCCAGTCAACCAGCCAGCCAGTCAGCCAGCTAGTAATACCCAGAGGCAGCCACAGCCGCCAGGCTGGTATTTAATTCTCGGCTTTTACTTTCTCCCAAATGATGCAGAAATGCATTTATTTTTCTATTTTTTCAGTGTTTCCACAGTGAGCAGCAAATTGTATTTGTTATACATTTTCCGACGAGCATTTTAGAAGAAAGGCAATGCCAGCAGCAGCGGCAGCAGCAGAGATAAAAGTCAAAAGTTGCTAATTAACTAACATTTCAGACCACTTGCTATGCCCGCTCGCGACTTTTCTCTTTACAAATTTTTCATTTTGCAGTTGAATGTACGCTAAGCGACTGTGGAAATTCCGCACTACTTATAAGCATGGCCAGACAGACGGCAGGCAGGCAGCATTTCCATCATCATCATTGTGATCATTACCAGCCATCCATCATGATTATATATTATTGTAATCATTGACGTTGTCAGAAGTAATTTAGGAAGGAAAACAGTAATACATGTATATACACATACATACGAATATATATTGTATATGTGTATATATAAATTTATTTGCTCGCTTTGCTGAATTTCTCTGCTGAATTGGAAAACTTATGGCTTTTCATGTTGCTTTAAGTAGAAGTTGAAACTCGTTGCTGTTGTTGTTGTTGTTGTTGTTGCTAAAAAATCGCCTGTTGCATTTGGCTGTTGTTGCCGTTGCTATCTCGTTAGTCGCTTTGTTCGCAAGAAGGTTTATGAACTTTAACAAAGATTTTCTTTCTGACTTCCCGCTGTTTAACATGCACTTGAGTCGTTGCTTTTCGAAAGTGCAACGCGGCGTATGAGCAACGCCAACTAAACAACTGTGTGTGTGTGTGTGTGTCTATGTTTGTTGTCTATTTAATGTTTGCATTTTCTAATTGCTGTTATGATTGCCGTATAACGCTTTGATTATCGAAAGCAAAGAAAAACACTTTTCATTTCAGCTCAATTGATATTCTTATCAATTGTTGGTTATATTTGTATATCACATATGTAAGTGTGTGTGTGTATAGTATTTCAAAACTCTTGATGAGCTTATGTGATGCGTCAGCTTAGCTTCGTTGAGCTAAGCTCGGTTCAGCACACACACACATACGCGCGCACACACACACACGCACACACACATAGAGCTTACAACTTTCACTTTGCGCTGTCAGAAGCAGCAGCAGAAGCAGCCGCAACAACAACGAAGCAAAAGTAAAGCTCTAATGTTAATGTAAATAGTGGTAAGAGTCAGGGCACACACACACACACACACTCACGCACAGTTACGTGCCATAGATGCGATCGCGTAGATAGAGATTGACAAAGGTTCAAATGACTTTGGCGCGTCTCGCAAAATTGCAAAATAGAAACAAACAAACAAACGAAAAAAATTTAAAAAATATATATTGCAAAAAATATAAAAAATAAGCAAAAATAATAGCAATGCAAAACAATAAAACAAAATCAAATCAAATTGTGGCATCTTACATAAAAAACAAAAACTTAACCTTCGCTGCATGAAAGCCAAATAGTTTCATAAAAATTAGATTTGATTTTTATAATATTATTTTTTCTATATTTCTGCATAAGCAATTACCCACTTGGCTGTCAACAAAAATTATGTTCACAAAACTATGTTAAGATTCGAGCATTCATATTGAAATTCCGCCGTTGACACAGTTAAAGATTTTATGCTGATCCTATTATACAATTGCCATTGGAGGGCTTCCAGTGGGGCGAACTTAAAGTGAAAGTTCTAATAGTTAGGCGAGCCAACAACAACTGCTGGCAAGTACTTGCCAACCACCAACCACTGCCAGCCGCCAACCATGCGGGCCAACCGCTCAATTGTGGCGGTGGTGGTGCGGGGCGAGCCACTGTTGCGGTAGTCCAATCGTCAGCCGAGCCAAGTGTAAGTGAGCATGGGAAAGAAAGAAAGGCAAGCGAATTGCTATATGACAGCAAAAAAAAAAAAAATAAGAAAATAGTAATAAAAAAATTTTTATTTGCGGTGGTGTGGATGGCATTAGGCGTTTCTTTTGTGCGCCAAGACAATCAATTCCAGAGGCACAAAGAGAGTCTCATTAAGATGCTGTTTAATATTGATAATGATAATGATTAGCAGCAAACTTCTGCAATTACAAATGCAAGACTTTCCGGCGGCGATTGCTTTCTGATTCAGCTAATTGCAGAAAGTACTCCATTATGCTGGCCCTTTCGCCTGGTTATGCAAAAGAGTTGCTTGTTTTATGGTCGCATCTTCTATCACGTTTGAGGGCCAATTAAATGTCGTCGTGTAAAATAAAAGTTAACTTTTATAGAATTAATAATCATTGCATCACGAATGCTACGTGTGGCGATTAGCCAGTTATATATATATGTATATACAAACATATACGTATATATATATAACTCTTTAACTAGGAAGCAAAAAGAGTTCCAACTGAAAATGTGTGAAACGCACGCAAGTTTTTTTTTTTTTTTTTTTTTTTGTGGGTTGTTTTTGTGGCTGGCGGATTAGTGAAGTTAGAAAGCAAGACCAAAATATAACCATACATAAGATTGCCTCTTTCGCTTGAAACAATGCGAAAAGTGCTAAAAATCTAAATGAAAAGATCTACTCAAAGTTCTTTTAACTTCTATTTACATATTCCTTTTGTGAATACTTCTAGATCTATTTAAAATTTTATCAAATTTTGAGCAGAGAGTGTGGTGCAGTCGTGTACACTCGTCTTCTGCAAAGCAGCAGCAGCATATGCAGCATGCCATTCTACTGATATCCCAACCAGCGACATCTCTTCAAAATTTCTCTTTTGACAATTGCAGAGGGTCTGAGCCATGGGTTGCCTAATGACATGACTTTCATTCAGATGCTACAGCGAAGCGACAAGAAACGAAGCGAAGCTCAAGCGCAGGTTGCATAATCGCATTCAAAACGAAAATAGAAAACAGCCGAAACACCAAATGTCGGACGGACAAGCAGACAAACATAAAAAAGAAACAACATATTGATGTATAGATGGGCATCGATAGCTGGCGGATAGGTGGTAGTATGAATGTATGGATGTATGGATGTATGCTTGTGCTGGTGCTTGTGAGCAATATAATTTGTAGCGGTTTATCAAGCAACGGTATTATTGAGCAATGGCCACTCGAAGCGACTCCAACACTCGCCAACATTTAAACTATTTTCTTGTTATGCACTTCAAAAGCAAAACGCGTGATACAAAGCGCACACAAACACACACACATACACCGAGTTTTTGGCAACACAATTTTGACTTGGCCAACAGAAAACCCGATGAGTCATTCTTAATAATTGCGCGTACAAAAAAGTGGCAGCAATAATATTTATAAAACTAAATATCAATGCATAGAAATCGAAACGAACATCAACATTAAAAACAAACTCGAAAACAGCACAAAATCGAGATCGAGCTCGAAATCGATGTCGAATTTACGAGCCTAAACCAGAAATTGAAATGAGACGAAAGCATATTGCGCATACGCCATGGATTCCAGAGAGATCCATACGTGTCGCCCAGGAGCTGTTGCAATCGACGGATAGACCCAACAACAACAACAGCCACAACAGCAACTAGTTGGGACATTGAACTCGAAAAGCGAACCTGCACACACGACGTCAGCAGCAGCAGCAGCAGCAGCCGCAGCAAAAATTTGTAAACAAAACTTGATTATGTAAGAGCTTAATTATGATGGAAATGGAAATGCCAAAGCGACAAAGCCAGGCCACATTAACAGGCCGAGTGACTCTAGAGCTTCAAATTGGATTTATTGTCAACAACAAACAACAAACATCAAAGAGCAGCAACAACAATAACGCCAACAATTTTGAAGGCTGCACATTGCGAGAACTCATATCGAGCAGCAGGAAATTTTCCAAAACATTCGTCACACTATGCTAATGCTGAGGCTGCGGAAAATGGGTCAGGACTAAAGCACCTGAGCCATTCAAACAAGTTTGCTGCGCGCAGTGAAAAGGCAACATACAGAAAAGAAAGGAAGCATAAATTGTAAAACAACTAGCAAGGGTCTTAGAGCTCTCGCAGCAGCAGCAGCAGCAGCACAATCAAGCAGCAGCTGCAAAAAGAAACAGATATATGAGTATGAGTGAGAGACAGAGAGTGAGCGAGAGAGAGAGAGGGAGACAGAGACAGAGACAACAAATCCAAGCAACAACTTTCACCTATTAATATTCGACTCGCAGCAGCGGCAGAAGCCAGCGAGCTGCCAAAGCTTGCAGCGAGTCGAGCAGAAGCAGAAGAAACCAATTTGAAGTGCGGCGCAGTTGTGGCCGATGCTCAACAGGGGCAACAACGTACGACGGCTGCTTGGGTGACTGCAGCTCAGACGATGCTAAAGAGACAGACACACACACACACACACAAACATCAACACACTCGCACACTCATGCATGGTATCTGACAAAGAGCGTGATCTCTTCAGAAACTTTCTACAAAATGCTGTGCGGGAATTTATTCATTTTCTTTTGCTTTTACTAGCTGAGTGAACCAGCTATACTTTACGACTTGGCTCTGGCTCAATCGAGTATCCTTTGATCTAGAATAAATGTTGGTCAACTTACAGCAATAACGGGTCGAGTACTGACAGTTAGCATTGACTGTCGGCGCCATTATCTCGTTGGCAGCCATATCCAAATTTGTGTAATTGTTGAAGATCTCCTCGTATATCCTTTCTGTGGATGTCCTTGTCCTCGCTGTTGCTGTTGTTGCTATTGTTCCTGTTGTTGTTGTTGTTGTTGCTTATGGTAATCCAATGTTGTAAATTGTTGTACACACACACTCACACGCACATATGCTTTTGGCTTGATAGTTTCTCTTTGATTGGTGCTGCTTATTTGGTAGTTTGCCTGGTTTCCATTGTAAGATATTTGGAATTCAAGAGGCACTCACGCACGCCGAGCGCCCAAAAAAAACGCCAAAGCCCAAGCAGCGGCGCACCGATAAAATACACTTTCACTTTTCTCTTGATATGCAGAGAACACAAAACAGTTTAATGCGATGGTAAATTTGGTTTAGTTGTTGTTGTTGCTATAGTTGGTGTTATAGTTGTTGCTGTTGTTGGTTTTTCTTATTGGTGAAAATTAAATTTCAAGTGCACCAAAGTCAGGAGTAGTCAACATTTTGTCGCGGCTATGTTTCCTTGGCTTTGCTCGTGGGAATTATTAAAAATATTTTCAGAATCTTGTAGAGTTTCAAATTTGATGCACAAAACACACTTTTTTTCTGCAGCCGAACTGTAAAAGTTTTTCGATTTATTTATTTTTTTATTTTGGCTTCTCCAAAAGTTTTTCTTCTTTTTTTTTTAGAGTTCTGCACGCAGCCGCCTGTTGCTCTGGCTGATGTTGTTGTTGCTGCAGTGGCTATTGTTGTTGTTGTTGGTGTGGCTTTAATTTTGTAACTACTTTTGGTGGCGATTCTTGCGCGCCGACCGTTTGAACGTAACGTCTGCCTCGAACCACTGTAGACGTCTGTGCGGCAGCGCGCAGTGAAACCAGCGCTTATCCTCAAAGATCGCTAAGAAATTTCATGCCATTCCATTTTGTTTCATTGCTTGCGACGCTTTCGCTTAACACACACACACACACACACACACACACACACACACACACACACACACACACAGACACACACGAGCACACACATACACACACACACACACGCATTCAAGCTGTAGCTGTGGCTTGACTTTGGTTCTGTGTGCTGTTAACATTACCATTTCTTTCTCTGCACACTCACTCACTCACTTGCTCACTCACACACTCACTCACACACACTTAGACGCAGACAAGTTGCTGCTGAGCGTGCGCTCAGTTCAAGTTTGGTTCTTCGTTGAAGTCTTTTGTTTTGGTTCGCAGTTTGGCTTTGCCATGTGCGCGAGCTTTCAGTAAGAGTTTCGCCTTGGGAGCATGCACACACACACACACACACACACACACACACACACACGCTCACATACAGACAGAGACGGAGAGCGACTATCCGGCAGCGCTTAATTATTTACAGTTTATGGCTGTTCCATTGCCATCGCGTTCCGAATGGACTTTTATAACTTTAACTTTCTTCGCTATCGCAGCGAATGCCGTTTGCTGCCAACTGCCTTCTAAGCGCGCTGCGGCTTTTTTTTTTATGTTTTCTTTCTTTCATTTTCTTTTCTTTTTTCCATTTCAGCGTTTCGTTTCGTTTGCTTCTGCGCATTTGCCGTTGCTTAGCTGCAAATTACAACTTTCGTCTATTTTCGTCAAGATTTTTGTTGTGTTCCGTTTTTTTTTTTTTTGTTTTTTTAATTATATAATTTAAACTTTTTTCTTTTGTGCATTTTTGTTGTTGGCTTTGTTTCGCTGTAACTTCTGCGTAAGTAATTTGCTTTGCCATTGTTGCTTCAGTTTTACTTTTATTTGCATAAAGCCAAGCTCACGCCTAATTATGCGCGAGAAGAGAAGAGTGAAATTTTCAATGGATTCTTAATTATCATTTAATTGACTGCTCACTGAAAGCATCAACTAGCCAGAGCCAAAAAAAAAAAAAAAAAACAACCAACACAAGCAGAGCACCAAGAAAATCAAATGTATCTCAATCTATACGTATGTGTGTGTGTGTGTGTGTGTGTGTATGTGTTGCTTGCATTTGGTAAAATCTTTTCAGCTGCAGTTTGCTGGTCTGGTCTGGCCTGCTCAGCGAGCGTTTCAAGATCGGGGCTCGACCATTTGCAGTTACAGTCAGAGTCTTAGTCTCCGACTACGACTACGACTACGACTACGGCTTCGAGTCAGTTAAAAGTATCTTGATGTTTAGGCTCTTTTCTTTCGCTGTTGTTGTTGGCTCTGCACTTACAGTTGCTTCTTTTGTCGTTTGTGCGGCTGGTGTTACTATCTGTGTTGTTGTAGAAAACTTTCTAATGCAGAAGCCGTCTGCTGTTTCATAGCTCACATTTCTCCACCCCTTCATTACTCTTGCTTGTGCATCTCTCTGGTTCTCTCTCTCTTACTTCAATTGAATTTTCCCAGTATTTGATAGGCCTCTTTTAATACCCTGTACGCATTTCAAGTAAAGTTGTTCAGTATTCTATTATTGTTGAGAATTATTTGAACAATATCAAATTCTTAGGTATACATTTTTTTCAGACCAATAAGTTGTTGAGTTCAAACTGTTATAATTCTCTCCAACAGATACTTTTTTATCTCATGTCTATTAATACATAATAGATACAGATACTCTTGTATATATTATGGAGACTATTAATGTTAAAAATAGTGCCATATAGATAGGAAATATCAATTAGGTTTTTATCTGGTAGATGCAATTGCTTTTCTAACATACTTTGGTAATTTAAAGGAGACTTTCGCACTTACGTGTGCGATGTGAGAGTTACTTTTCATCTACTTAGCAAGAAACATAAAAGCCATTCATAAGACTTTAAGGCAATAAAAACTATCGAGTGAAAGAGCTACGATCAGAGGTACAGGGTATTATTTAGTCATGCAGTGCCAACTAAAGCACTCTTACTTTAGTTTTGTTGGTCTTTCGTTAGCTTTTTCTTTCTTTTGAGATTTTTCCCAAGCTCGTGAAATCGCTGGAGAATTTCAATCGAGTAAAACTGTTCAAACTACAAGACATTTTCAATTCTATGCACATGGCACAGCGTCCATGTGCCCGCATCTGTGGGTGTGCACGTATGTATGTGTCATACACGTGCAGGTGAGCTCACATAAGTACTTGATAATCCGCTGTGATGCATCAACACATTATGATGCCAGTGGTCAGCGGCATCCGTTGGACCGATTGATGGTAATACCGATGCCGTTATTCCGCGCTTACTGCCATCTGGGTGAAAGTTATGGTTTAAATACGCTCACAGATCAGTCACCATAGAGCCTCTTCACCCAGCAGCGCGAGGTTGAGCAGGCCAAGCCGAGCCATTTGTAATCTTACGTCTTCAATATTAATCGATTCATACTTAACCTGATTACTTGTAACTTGCCAGCACCAAGTATTTCGTATTTCTGATAATTAGCACAAAGCACCATGCGAAATGGAAACGATCTCAGTTGGCAAATATATGATTAATTAGCAGTCAAGCCATACATTATATAAACCCCAGCCAGAACTAATGAATCACAAAATCACAAGACATCGCATTAAGCTCGAGACCCAAAAACGTAAGTATAAGAAAAAAAAAAAAAAAACGCTATTTTCACTTTTTAATAATTAACATAAAATTATTAACCACCAGCGCAAAGAAAGAGGAAAGAGAAATGGGTAAGAACCAAAAGAGACACCAACAAAAACCGAAACCAAAATCAAAATCAAAACAATGCCAAGCGCATTAAAGCAGCACCAAATGCCAGAATCCGACAAATGTAAGAAATAAGCCACGAAAGTTGTAAATTGAATCGAACGAGATTTCAGACCTCAGATTTCATAAAGTCTCGTAAAGAACTGCCCACCGGCGAGTGACTAAAAATCTTAAAATAAGAAAACATTAAGCTTGAAGAATTTTAAGTGAAATGAATTTGAAAGCTTTTCCCGTCGAGAACTGACCCAATTACCCATTTTGGCCCCATGCCCCAAATGGTGGTGGAAGCCACAAAATGCCGAAAAGAACAAGAAGATGGTGAATGTGACGGAGCAACAGTTATGTGACGAGCCGACCCAGTCAGACAATCGAAAGTTTATGTCATGCAACAGCGACAGCCGCAGCAGAAGCAGCAGCAGCAGCTGGTAAGCAACGCACAGTGGGGCAAAATGACGGTACATATACATATGAAGAGATTGAAGTTTATAGGTGATCTAAGAGGAGCAAAGAGCTGCTCCTCCACGGCCTTTAGAGTCTTGCAGCGACAGCTTTAGGATAAACCACAGCTTTGAGACGCTTGGAGAGTGCTGGCAAAAAGTAAATCGTCTCGAGTTTTGCAATGGTACACGCCCAGTTAACAAGACGGAGAATTCTTTTTATGGGAAAGTAATTGAAGAAAATGTATAAATACTCATATCTATATATATCTACATGCGAACAGTACAGAAGCGAGTGAAATTCTGTTACACATACAGACGTAGTTACGCATACATAAAACTACGAAAAATAAAATACAACGAATTTTTTGGAAAGTCATGGCATGAAATGATTCTCGTGTATCTTTCATAGGCCTACCAAACAGCATGAACAATTGAGAGCAGCCAAAACGCAAGAAAAGAAAAAGTAACTTCACACCAACACACACTCGCACACACACACACACACACACACATGCACATATAAATGGACAGCTTGCTTAACGTCTGGTGGCCAGTAAATCGAAAAGATACACGAAACGAACACTACACAAAAAAAAAATAAAAATAAAATAAAATAATAAAATCGAAACATAAAACATTCTGATTGTAAGAGCGTGGAAGTAGGTCAGCGTCGCTGCTGGCGTCGCCGTCGTCGTTGTTGTTGGTGGTGTTGTTGTTGTCGTTGCCGCTGCCTTCACCTTCGCCGTCGTCGTCATCGCCAACGCGCTCTCGAACTTGGCTTTGGACTCGACGGCCGCTCGGCTCAGACACCAAAAATGAAGGAAAAATAAGCAAACCAAGCAGCATAAAATAAGAAGAATCAAAACTACAACACACACACATACACACACACGCACATGCACGCAGGCAGAGCTACGCTGATGGAATACTTAAAGCATCCGCGTCCACTTGCACTTTCTTTTTCAAGCGCTGCCGCAGCCGCGGCTGGCGTCGCAGTTGCTGTCACAAAACTTGATTTGGCTTTTGCTTTGGCTCATTCTACTTCTGCTTGGCTCCCAGTGCGAGTCCCACAGCGCAAGTTCGTGGCTTAAGTCTTTCGTTTGGGTCTGGCACACGTTCGCTTCGCTTAGCTTTCGCTTTGCGCTTTGTGCTCTGTGCTCTGTGACTGCTCCATTGTCTTCGGCTGCCCTGCTGCTGCTGTTGCTGCTGTCGCTGCCCAAAATATTCTCTTGCGGTTTTTCAGCTCGTATATTATGACCAATTTGCTTTTAGGCCTCAATTTCACCAGCTTGTATAACCATTTCAAATTGTGTAAGGAATCATTATTGTTTCGCTGACAGTTACATATTATCACTCGCACTAAATATTTATGCTTTTCACTTAGTCATGCGTTAAGTAAATATAAAATACTAGCTTTTAGTTAAGGCACTGAAGAGCTCACTAATTTAGCAGCTTCGAAATTCTTGTATTTAGCATCACAAAACGAACAAAAAGAATTTTATAGTTCCGCTTGAATTGAACGTAGTTACATTTTTTTTTTTTTTTTTTTTTTTTTAATATAGTTTTATTGCAACTTTTGTCTAAACTCTGTAGCGCATTTATAAGGATACCTTAACTAATGAAGTGGCTAAATGCCTTTATTGCTACGAACTACGTTTACTAATTTAGGCCACTTCTCGGGTCCAGGGGGTGTATTCTTTTCAACCTTCTGTTGATGGTGTTGGTGGATAAATTGACTGCAAGCTGGTTTGGGTGGGCGGATATTTTGTCCGCGTACCTAGTGCTATGTCGGCCAATGAGCTCAGCAATTGTCGGCATCTCGAGGTCGGTGTGCAGG